AGGACCCTGGGACCATGACCTGAGCCGAAGGCAGTCGCTTAACCAACTGAGCCACCCAGGCGCCCAGTTTTTTGTTTTTTTTTTTTAACAAAAAATATATTACACAGTACACATGAGCCAGAGTTGTTTTTTTTTTTTTTTTTTTACTGTTACACCTCATCATTCTTCTTGTTTATCAGAGATCTTCTCTTTATGTGAAAATATGTACCTTAAAATTAGGATAATGGAAATTTTTTTTTTTAAAGATTTTATTTATTTGACAGAGCACAAGCAAGGGGAGTGGCCAGCAGAGGGAGAGGGAGAAGCAGGCTCCCCGCTGAGCAGAGAGCCTGATGTGGGACTTTATCCCAGGACCTGGGATCATGACCTGAGCCCAAGGCAGACGCTTAACCGACTGAGCCACCCAAGCGCCACAAGATAATGGAAAATTTTAAGTTATGGTTCAAGGAATGTGGTCTCTTTTCTTTAGAGGAACACCTACACGAATATTGCCACACCACTGTGTAACTGAGTCTATGAACTACGATGTGAAAACATTTGGATCTTCTCTTCCTGTTAAAATAATGGAAGCCTTGACATTGGCTGAAGGTGGGTATCATTTTCCATTTGCCTCTATTAGCAATTCAGAATGCAGCCTGGCTCTGGCTCAGATGAAATTTGTGCTTTCTCTGATATACCTTCACTTAAATGGGGTAGAAACAGGTAATGTATTTGGTTTTCACTGTAATTGAGAAATGTAATGAATTTGAGAAGCAGAATGAGTTTATTTTTAGCACAATCACATTACTTCTTTTATGGTTGTAAACACCGCATATGCAAAACTTGGTCTGATTTCAAAAGTTGATCGGGTGTATGAAGTTTAGCTTTAAAAAAAATCAAAACACTGCCTCACATTATTGGGTGTGATAATACAGTAAGGTCAAGTCTTACTACCTCCATTTCTGGATCCTGTGTAGTATCCCAGAGGTTATGTACACATTAGTGTTATCAGTGTGGTGTATCTTTAAAAGATTCTGTTGGCAGAGAATTAGAGTGGAAGTTTGAAAGATGCAGTCACACAAGTGTTAGAAAGGCAGCGGTAAGGTTGAGGGGTTGGGTGACTTGAAGAGCAAAGTTCAGAGCATCCTTAGTGATGTTCCCAAGGCATTTTTATTTATGATGCAATTATAGATTTTTGTGATTTTCTGGAACAGTGTTTTTCAAACTGCAGGTAGTAACTGAAATCAGTTTAGTGGCTCATGGCCAGCACTTAAAAAAACAATGCAGAATATCAGAGTGCATTTCATATAATAATGCTTGATAACTTGTTTGTTTTATTTAAATTGTATGTGAATGCATCATGATATAAAATGTAGTTCATACTGTGAATGATAATCAAAAAGGGTTAAAGTACTCCATTCTAGAAAGGAATATTTCTCATCAACTTGAACTTGCCTATCTTCCCTATGAGTCCTTGAGAACTCAGGTACAGTGGTTTTCAGACAACTAAACTTCCACTAACCTCTGTCATGCACTGTTTTTGTTTTATATATTTATTTTAAGATTTTTTATTTATTTTTGCGAGAGAGAGAGGGAGAGCGCACGCAAGAGAGAGCATGTGCATGCACAGGGGGAGGGGCAGAGTCGGAGACGCAGACTTTCCACTGAGCAGGGTGCCTGATACGGGACTTGATCCCAGGACTCTGGGATCATGACCTGGGCTGAAGGCAGACACTGAAGGTGACTGAGCCACCCAGGCGCCCTGCACTGTTTTTGTTTTAAATATATATATTTTTCTTTACTTTTCTAAAAATTTCAGCTTAAATTATACTTAAACCTTTTTTTTTTAAAGATTTTATTTATTTGAGAGAGAGAGAGCACATGAGAGGGGGGAGGGTCAGA